CCCGGGGCAGTGCCCCCTCGCTGCCTGCCCTCGGGGTTCGCCTCCTCAGGGGAAGAAGTCGCGGGGGGAAATCGGAGGTGCTCGCGCGCTCGGCGGGCGGCAGGAGCAGACTTTTGGTTGGCGGTGGATGTGTCTTGAAAGAGCCTCGCTGTTTGTTTCCGTAGGAGAAGCGGGCAGGTGTCCTGAAATCGTGGAACTGCACTGAGAGGTAAGTGAAAGTTAAGAATTCTCTCGACAGCTGCTTCTTGAGTGAGAGGGTTGCTTGGTTCTGCCGAGTACCCGTCTCTAGGGAGCTGCGCGTTTTGCGTGCCATGGCTATGTAATTGTGAAGTGTTAATTGTGTTAGTCTCTGAATAATTAAATTATTTTTCATGTTTCTCAAGGTTGAGTACGTAGTCCCCTTCATCCGAAAAGAAGCTGGTAGAAGTTAACTACTCAGTCCGTGACTTGTAAGGGCTTAAATCATTCCTGAATTGTAGATGATACAATAGTGCTGTTTCTTTACAGCAGAGTACAAACTCTGTTATATTAATTTCTGATGCTCTTACAAGAGTGAGAACAAACACTGGTTTATAGCATGATGCTGGCAGAATTTTAGTGCTTTTTTTTTTTTAAATATCCTGATGTAAAGCTGATTCTGGGTTTCAGGTTGGTTTTTTTTTAATAGGGATACTGGGAGGCATGAGAAGAGTTCCAGAAGGAATGCCATTATCATGTTATTAACAGTGAAAGTGTTCTAAATAGAGTGCCATCTGTTTAATCCAGACTGCCTCTGTCTGGTTTCACCGTTGAATGTTTTTCGCTGTGAGAGAAAGTCTGCAAGACTCAGAGCAGTCTCTTCTCTGCAGATGCAGTGTCAGGGTGAGAGGAGACACGTTTGTTTTTCTGTAATGTGTGTGGGGTGGAATTGCAGGACGGCTCTTTATTTGTGAGGTGTTTAAATCTCTGCCTTACAGAGAATGAAGTTCTGTCAGATACCTGCGAAGTATTTCTTGTTTCTTATTGTGGCTGAAAGTTAATAGGTATGTGTTTGAAGTCTAGCGTTGCTGAGGAGTGTTGATATTTCCTCAAAAAAAAAATTTTCAGTGACCCATAGTCATGTTAGATACCAGACACCTTTATTTTATTTTTTGAAGGAAAAATACAAAGTTCTGGTTTTATTTATGTTTTTTTTGTTTATTTTGTTTTGTTTTCTTCATAGTGCATGCAAGCATTACTTGATTATTTATGTATGAAGCCATACTTTACTGGTATTGCTGAGTCTGTCAACAGGAACGTTCAGTTCTGATCATAGAATATTGGCTTTGTGTGACATATCCTGGTCAAACAGAATTGTAACAGAGGAGTGTGCTCGGCAAGATTTGTCTTCAAATACACTATCGCTTTCAAGGTTTAACAAGGCTTTGGGTAGCTGTTTCCCCCCACCCAAGTACATAAAAACTCTTGATAGTAAAAACTGTGTGTAGTTGATAATTTGCTCTACGATGAGATTGCTTAATGTTTTGCTTCCTAAATTTCCTTTTCTTTCAGTATGGACCATACTCTTTCTTTTAAAAATAAGACTGCAGATATGAGGGATGTGATGTTTTGGGAAAATAGAAAGCTTTTTGAAGCTGTATCTTCACCAAATAAATGAATCTGCATAATTTCAAGGGGGCTTACAGTCTTGCTATAACCTGGTTTTGAGAAGGAAACTTCACCATAATTACAGTGTCAGCCTGAAGAAAATAATAGTATGCACAAGGAACTAACATAAAGAAAAGAAATTTCCATCTTGTGTAAAAAAACGCTGGATGTCCTTTAGGAAGGGAAGGTCATTGGAACTCCATGTACAAATAACCAGTACTTTTTGTGGTTTATTACAGTTGCTTCTTTTTGTACTATTCGTGGTGGTGATAATTACTGAAAAGATTAAGTGTTCTAGAATACAGTTATGTTAGCTTGTATCCAGCCATGCTAGTTTATGATTTGCTGGGATTCCTGCTTATGTTACTAGGTTAGAGGAAGGTGGCAGAGTTTTCTTGAACAGCTTTCAAAAGCCCATGTTTCCAGAAATTTGTGTTGATGTGCATTCTGGATTAACAGATTGTGAGATACATTATGTGTACTGCTCTTCTCTGCCTATACATATGATATTCGCTCTAGTACTGAACTGTGTTTAGTGGTATGCTCTTCATTATTGTCTTCTGGAGTAGAGAGCTGTGTGACTGACAGTGACTTGAAGTATTTTCAGTTTTGAGATGACAAAAAAGGGTTGTGGGGTTGTCTTGGTTGGTTGGGGTTTTTTTTGGCTCAACATCTTAATACACGTTTGAACTACTTAAATACTGTATCTTTTTCTTCCTGAAATTGCATGTTGTTTTCTCCAGCTTTGTATTAGTAGTCGTTTGTAAGTCATTGGAAGCCTTTTGTCATTTGAATGAAGTGGTCAATCCTGCTTTAATTACAGTAATGATGGAAAAGATCTTTCTTTAGTCCACGTTGATTTCTTTGGATGCTTTTAAAAAAAGGCTGTGAAAGGTGGGGAAGCAAATTATCGTTTTAGGCAGCATTAGAGAGCTAATTATTTTATGGACAGTATCACAATCTCAAACTACTATTTCACCTCTCTTTTGGAGAAGTGATGTGCTGGAGCAATAGTCTTAGTTTCTTCCTGCTTTTTTTTTTTTTGTGTCAACCCAAAGACTGTTATTCACAGGAATGGCCATACTGAGCTAATCTGATATTCTCTCTTGAAGTGTAAAGCTCTGGGATCCTGGTATGTGACAAGACCATTGTTTCAAGTCCTGCTTGTCTCCCACAGCTAACCAGTATTTGGCAGCAGGTGCTTTATTCTTACACTCTTTTCTAGGCAAGCATATAGGGTTATTCCTTAGGTCAGCTCTCCCAGTCTTCAGTGGGGATGATGTTTTGTATGGATTTTTATTCCATGGATATACTTAATTTTTAAAAACTTCTGAACCTACGTATGGTTTTTGCATCTACCATGTTTTCTGGCAGTAAGCATCATATGCTTTGGATTTGTGCTGAAAACAGTATTGATAATGCCGAGATGTTTTAGTTACCACTGAGCAGTCCTTACACAGAGTCAAGGACTTTTCTGCTTCTCACCCCACCCCACCAGCAAGTAGGCTGGGGGTGCACAAGAAGTTGGGAGGAGACACAGCTGGGACAGCTGACCCCAACTGACCAAAGGGATATTCTATACCATATGATGCTATGCTCAGTATATGAAGCTGGGGGAAGAAGGAGGAAGGGAGGGACGTTTGGAGTGATGGTGTTTGTCTTCCCAAGAAACCGTTAGGCGTGATGAAGCCCTGCTTTCCCGGAGATGGCTGAACACCTACCTGCCCATAGGAAGTTGTGAATGAATTCCTTGTTTTGCTTTGCTTGCGTGTGTGGCTTTTGCTTTACCTGTTAAGCTGTCTTTATCTCAGCCCATGAGTTTTCTCACTTTTACCCTTCTCATTCTCTCCCCCATCCCACTGGGAGGGAGATGAATGAGCGGCTGTGTGGTGCTTAGTTGCTGGCTGGGGTTAAACCACGACATGTTCACTCAAACACTTGTCTGGGCAGGAAAATAATTTTGGATTCCGTTAATTTTCTTTATGCTTGTTCTCTTATGTTAAGATATGAACTAGTATCAGAAAGTGAACCTGGAGGCTTCCCCAGCTGACTCCTGGTGAAGGACATCTGTGCCATAGGAATGATCATTTAAGAAGTCCTGTGGCTCTTTTCAGGGGAAATTGATCTGAGCAGAGGCAGTCATCAATAGTACGGTTTGACTCGCTACTTCAGTCAGTTATTTTCATTTACAAATAGAATAGTTGTGAGAAGTAATTCTTGACTTACTTAATGCTGTTTTCCACAGTGTTTCCTTTGCAGTTATTTGCTTGTAGTAGATAAAATTTCCTGCAGAGTTGTGTTCAAGGAAACATTAACTTCTGAGTTGTGTAAATTGTTCAGACATTTCATGTTGGCTGTAAAGGTAACTATAAAATCGAGATGATAGCTTTTAGAAAGATTTGCAGGTGTCAGGTATTATCCAAATTATTTGTTGTTTTCTATTGAACCTTTCTTTTGTGTTCTTTGGCAGAAGCAGAGATTTTTTAAAAATGGAATTGCAGGATGGTTGAGGTTGTAAGGGACCTCTGGTGATCACGTAGTTCAGTGCCTTTGCTCAAAGCAGGTCCATTGTACAGCTGGATTGTTAATATCTCCAAAGACAGAGACTCTGTGACCTCTCTGGGTAACTTGTTCCAGTTTTTAAACACCTTCATGCTAAAGAAGTTTTTTTCTTATGTTTAAGTGGATTTTCTTATATTTCAATATGTGTCCAGATAGGTGCAAAATTTTTTTGAGAGTAAGAATGTATTCTGAGTTAATGCTTGTATAACTAACTGTAGATAAAATAGCAAGCTGGTTGAATTTTTGTCTCTGCACCTTTGCTTGGATAATTCATGCTTCTAATAACAAGAAAAATAATGTAAATTTTTTTTTTTTAACTTCAGTCACAGAACAGATTTATGGAGTGACTCAGTTGGTCTCCTTTTTCTTGTATAGAGTTCTGACTTCAGCTTCTAAACTTGAAATAAAAGGTCAAGAGGTAGAGGAGCACTTCTGATGAAGTAAAATATAGTTATCTAGTAAAACTCTACTGCAAAACAAGATTCTCTATTGCCAGCAGTACCATAGAGAAGAGAACATATAAACCTTGATCGGGGTCTGGGTAAAATAATATACAGTTTGCAAACTGTTCTAACGCATGCTGCAGGTAATCAATAATAGTAGAAGTTTTGTATTGTAAGGAAAATTGCTGTGTGGCCATTAGTCATTCTTCTGTTAGTGTTACATTTTTCTGTCAAATATAATGAATTAGGGCACAGGCTTTTTTATATTCTGCTTTCCTTAGAGCGAAAGAGGATAGAAGTGGTGTGCTACAGATGTTTATTGTGTGATGTTTATGTTCATTTATAGTGTTTTAAGAATAATAAATAATGTGGTCATGGAACATATTTGTCTAACAAACCACGTAGCTACTTTTAAACTAATCTGCATCTTTTAATTTAAGGCCACTGTAGAGTAATTTAGATCTCATGTACCTTGATGAAGGATTAGGCTGAACTCCACAGCAGCGTTACTCCATCACTGCGAGATATCATTTTCCTCCCAAATCCTGTGTTTCTCGTACTATGGATTCTATTTGAA